AGAGCAGGAAGGGAGGAGTGCCTGGGTGGCTCAGATGGTTACCGGTTTGGCTCAGGTCATGATGTCACAGTTCGTGAGTTCGAGCCCTGCATCATGCTCTCTGCTGTGTGGAGTCTGCTTGGGATTCTAACCTCTCTCCCTCTCCCTCTCTCTCCCTCTCTCTCTCTCTGCCCCTCCCGTGTGTCTCTCCCTCTCAAAATAAATAAATAAACTTTTAAAAAGTCATTTAAGAAAAAGAGGGGAAAAGGAGCCTGGTGTCTAGTCCTAAGGTAGAGGTGCAGCAGAAGGAGGCCCTTCGTGAAGGAGGTGCACCTTCAGGGAGGAAAGAGTCAACCTAGGGGAGGGTGGTGTGAGGGAAGCAAGAGAGAGGAGTGTTTCAAGAAGGGAATGATTAGCCATGTCGGTGCTGCCCAGAGGCTGCTGGGATGAAAAGCTGGTGCCATTGGACTTGCAACATGTCGGCCGGCGTGCCCTTGATAAGCAAAGTTTCCGTGGGATGCTGGAGGTAGATGCTTGGCTGGAGTGGATTGAAAGGTGAATGGGATTGAGGACGTGGAGACAGCAGGCATAGGGACCACCTAGCAGTTTGGCTCCAAAGAACAGTAGAGGCAAGGGGTAGTGACTCGAGGCAAAGAAGGGTCCAGGCAGGGTTATAATTTGTAAAATAGGAAAGACAAGACTTTGGGTGCTAAGGACGATGGTTTAGTAGATACTAAATTGGTACTACAGGAAAGAGCATCTCAGACATAACGTGTCCAAATCTGCAGTCTCGGTCTCTCCTTCAGCATAGGTGTCCATCCCATCATGGACTCGGCATAAAAAATAGCACCACCAGGCCCTCAGGTGCTCAAGCCAGGGCTTGGACACTCACCATTGACTCCTCTTTTCCTCACCTCCCACCTTCCCTCCATTGCCCGCTCCCATCAGTTCTTCCTCTAGGATGTATCTCAGATCACCCATCCACTTGGTCTGCACCTTAGCCTAGGCTCCATCAGCCCTAACTTGGGCCTTGGCAGTAGCATCCTAACAGGGCCCCTGCTTCATTCTTGTTCCCTGCCGTCCCTTTTCCACTCATTCTCCCCCAATAGCCAGAGAAATCTTCATAAAACAAACTGGCTCGTATCACTCCTCTGATCATATCCTATTGTCTCCCGTTGTATTCAGGCTAAACTCCGAAATCCTCTTGTGACTCACATAGCTCTGTCTGGTCAAACCCCTGCCTGCCTCTCTAGCCCCACAGCCTGCCACTCTCCATTGTCCCCTTTACTCTGCATTGCAGACTCATTGACCTTTCTAGGTCCTTGGAAGTTCTTTCCTACCACAGGGCCTTGGCATATGCTTTCCCCCCTCTGCCTGAAAGCTCCCCCACCCCTCCCTTTCCCTTGGTCAGCTCCTCATCATTCAGCTCAATGTCATGTCCATAAAGGGGCCTTTCCAAAATATGAAATACATCTTTTGTCCTCTCACGGAAGCCTGTCCTTTGCCTACATAGGATTTGCCACAATTACAATGAAATGATTATTTTTGACTCTGTGTATAATGTTTCTCTCTCACCAGGATAGGGTCTGTGTTTGTGTTGTTTGCCACTTACACCAGGTCCCAAGCACAGCGTCTTGCATACAGGAGGAAATGCATGTTTGTTGGAAAGAAGGAAGGAAGGAAGGAAGGAAGGAAGGAAGGAAG